GATAATAGAAAAACTATGGCTACGTGATTTGGGTCTCAACCTCTGGCTGTTCCTATTGCTTTTTTTTAATCTGGCTGCTACTATCAAAGGGGGTTTCTAGAAATAATGTTCTTGGTGGGCTACTTTCCAATCCACTCTGCATGCTTGGCTTACATGCTATTTTAGTGGTGCACAGGTAGAGCTCTCATTTTAAAATTATTGGATTATGATATTTGGGCTCAGCTGATACTGAGTTCATTTCCCACAAAGAGGTCCAGGGCAGGATACATTTAATTTAGGGGTATGACATCCAAGTCAGGCTTTGAAGGTAGGCTTAGATTTGAATCTCAGCTCCTCCCCTGACTAGTTGGTTATATGTAATTTCTCTTAGCTTTCCTTTTTTTATTTGTAAAACAGGAGGGTTGCTGTAAAGAATCTAATTTCAATTTAGGACTGTAGCTAGAACCCTCAGTTGGAACCAGTGCAAAGGAGATGATGCATAAACGGGATTGCTAATAGTCATCTTCATCTTAGCTAGACTTTCCAAGTAAATGTCAAGGAGAGTTCTTTACAGAAAAGTTCACTTGTTCATATGTGTTCTAGTTAATCCTGGAGAGAGGCTTTAAACTACAACATATTCTGGAGCTGATAGTCTCAGTTTTGCTATTGTAATATTATTTACATGTCTGCTCATTCAGTAAATATTTGTTGAGCAAATACTATGTATGTGTCAGGTACTATTCTAGGTACTAGGGGTACAATGATAAAAAGCAAAGTTCCTGCCCTCATAGTGCATATATTCTAGTGAGAAAGATAGACAGTACTCAAACTAGCCAACTAAGTAACTAACTTACTCTATATGTTAGGGGAGAGAGAGAGAGAGAGAGAGAGAGAGAGTGATAGGGTGCTATTTGAACTAGAGTAGTTGAGTCAGTTGTTGTCTTACACAGACCTCTGAGTTAAGTGAAGGCCCAAACCATCTGGGTATCTTGGGGAAGTGATTTTCAAAGCAGAGGGAACATATCACTTGAATAAGTACTTGAAGATGAATTACTTTATTATATTTTTCTTTTTTAAATGTAAAGACAATAAAAAGACCTTGCAGAAATTTTCACTTATAACTTACTACTCTGTTAATCTGATGCAACATAAAAAAATTCCCTACCAATGTTTTGCTACATTTATTAATATTTATGCATACATAAGTTATACCTGAAATTCCTTTTTTTTACTTAAACATTTCTCTGTGTTGTTTCATAATTTTATAATAATAATTTTAATAATATCAATTATTCCATTAGGGTCGTACTCAAATTATAAAAGATTATATGCCTGAAGATGTTCTTTGAATTATTATTTATAGTTACAAATATTAGAAACAACTAAATGTGTTCATAATAGTATAGTTAGATTACTTCTGGTGTTTTAGTAGTGCTGCAATGCATATCTTTAAACATAACTTTTTCTTCTTTTGAATTATTTGTATGGATCGATTCCCAGGACTGAGATATATATGTCTTTTTTTTTTCAGTTCTTGATACACATTATCAAATGACTTTCTAAAAGAATAATAACATTTAACTTTATCACTAGGAATATATTAATATGTAAATCACTCTGTATATTTTCCAGCGTTGGCTATATTTATTTAACGTTGTTTTCAACACTTAGCTACAATTAGAAATTAAAATACCAATTAGCAAAAATTAGAACTTCATAGATTTCTTTTGAGTTTAATGGCTTACTTATAATGTCAAACATATTACCACTAAAAGTATTTCTTCTTGGGCTAGTTATCTATTTATGAAGCAGACTTACTTCATAAAGTAAGGGTTTAAAGGGTTTAAAAAAGTAATCACCGGGGCCGGCCCGGTGGTGTAGTGGTTAAGTTCACATGCTCCACTTCAGCGGCCCAGGGTTCGCAGGTTCGGATCCCAGGTGGGGACCCACACGCTGCTCATCAAGCCGTGCTGTAGTGGTGTCCCATATACAAAATAGAGGAAGATGGGCACAGATGTTAGCTCATGGCCAATCTTCCTCAACAACAACAACAATAAAAAGTAATCACCATAGGTTTCTCATCCTCCATTATCTGGACATAAGATTTGTAATACTCAAGCCAGAGGTTTTCTAATGTGTGCCTACAGTGAAAATTTCATGTATTAAAGAGAAAGCACTTACGTTTCAACAAATTGATTTTTAAACTTTTTAATATGGAAAGTTTTAAACCCAAAAGTGCTTCCTTACCTAGCTAGCTTCAATAAGTATCAACATTTTGCCAGACTAATTTCCTCTAACTCCCACTCACCCATCCACTCTTTTTTCTTGCTGGAGTATTTAAAAGCAAATCCCAGAAATCCTGTCATCTGACCATTAAATACTTCAGCATGCATCATCTTTAACCAATAAGGACTTTTTTTAATAAAACATAACTACCTTCACAATTGATGAAATTAGAGATTGCTTGTTATCATTTAACACCCATATGCAAATTTCTCAAATTTCTCAAAAATGCCATTTACTTGGTTCATTTGAATCAGGATCCAAGCAAGGTCTATGCATTGCATTTGACTGTTTGTTCTCTCAAAATTTTAAAATTCTTTAACCATCCTTTCTCCCCCACTTTTTCATACTATTGATTTGTTAAGAAATTGGAACCCATGTCCTATAAAATGTCACATATTCTTGATTTGACTGGCTGCTTTCCTCATGTGTTGTTTAACTGATATGCTTTATCCTCCACTTCTTCTGTGTTTTCTGTAAAGTATTAGTTTAGACCTAGAGACTTGATTAGATTTAGGTACGATTTTTGGGGGGGAGGGGCAAGAATAGGTTACAGACAGTGGATGCTGTACTATTATTGAATCATATCAGGAGGTATTTAATGACTGTTGACCCACTTTTATTGATGCTAAGATTACCACTGGTTTCAAGCAGTGTCAGCCTGATTCCTCCATTTTAAATTTCCCTATTGATGATCGTGGCCTAGATCCAATGATTGAGGTTGCAAAATGGTGAATTTTCTATCATTGTTTCTAGTTTTATTAGCTGGGATTATATAAAAAGTAGCTTTTCATCATCAACTATTTGGTTATCTTGAAATACATCTCATACAGGAAAGGTGGAGTAAATGTTTGACCCTTTCCCTTTATAAGAGTAATTATAAGAGTAATGAGTAGGATCATTACCAATACCCGGTGGAAACTAATGAGTTTTTATTTTTTAAATATCATTATGAACTCATGGAGTTATATATCCTTGATGTGATTTGATCAATTGCAATTTATTTTTATGCTCAAATTATTTTATCTGATATAAATAGTGGTCTCCTCAAGTTGGTTACTGTATCCTTTTGACATGACTCCAATAATCTATGATATCTTTCTGTCTCCTTGGCACATCAAGATATACCAAGTTTGTCTTGTCAGTCCTGCCTCATACTTGGAGTCATCCATTTCTCCAAGGAGACTGCGTTGCTTTCAGTGGGAAATGGTATTTAGAGACCACATTCTGTGCACTAGGACTGTCCATTGCTTCTGGGGTAGCATTGCTTCTAGGTTTTCCAGTGGCTAGAGCTTAGAATCAATATTTTTAAAAAAGAAAAATAAATCCTGAGTTCATACTGATATGTCTTTTTTTTTTTTTTTTTGGTGAGGAAGATTGATCCTGAGCTAACATCTGTTGCCAATGTTCGTCTTTTTGCTTGAGCAAAAGGGGAAGATTGGTCCTGAGCAAACACATACTGATATTTCTAATTTAAGTGTAAGATTACAGTTCTTTTTTCTTTACTTGTTTTGTTTTATGCTTGTATTATTTTTTACACTGAAAATCGTGCTTACTAAAAGCATTACTACATTACTATAATTAATTATTTGTTTTATTATAAATCTACCTATAATAACTTCAAAAAAGCAACATAAACCTTGGAAATAATAAGATTACTGAAAACAGTTTAAGATTTCTTTGTTGCTCTTTTTGTCTTTAGAATACATCCAGTGGGACTATACAGTCAAAATACTGTGTTTTAAAGGCACTGCAGTGAATTATTGCCTTTCTTTGGTCAAATCACCATCTTGATATACAGTTAATTTGTTTCAACTTGATTCAATTTTTTAGAGATTGATTTTTTTAATTTTATAAAACAATAATTAAAACCATATATACATTTCAGAGCTCTTTGCATTTGCTGTAATTTCTGAGATATAATTAGCAATTATTTTCGTCAGTTTCTCCTTTGTCTTGGCTTTGCTTATGGTGTTTTATGGTCATGCATAAGTCATTTTCATGTATTTTTAATGTAGCTAAATTTATTAATCTTTAACTTACTTTTGAAATTTGAGCCATTTTAATGAGAGTTTTCTTATTTCCAGATTAAAGAGGAATCCATCCATTTTTAATTCAAGTATTTGTATGGTTTGAATTATTACATTTATATCTTGCATCCATTTGGGAGTTATTATTGAATAGTATTTTATTTCTAAGTATTAGGCACTGTTTTTCAGGTGCTGTTTTAGATACTAGAGATATAATGTGACAAGACCAACAATATCTAGTTTCTCTCAAAGTTAATGTTCCAATGAGGGAAGACCGACCACAAAGATGATTTCAGTTAATGGTAAATGCTATAAAGACAATTAAAAAAATAAAGTGATAGATATGGGCTGAACAGAAGCCTCTCTGATAAGATGATATTTGAGCTGATTTCTGAATCACAAGATGATGCTAGCCATATTGAGGCCTGGGGCAGAACTGTGCAAGCTGAGGGAATACCTAGTACAGAGGCATCAAGGAGGAATAGACCTTAACACTTATTAAATGCTTACTATGAACCAGGCACAATGCTAAAACACTTCACCTGCATTATCTCATGTATTTTTTATAACAACTCTTTGGGTTAGGTATCTATTTGAATACGAGGACACTGAGGTTTGAAGAGTTTAAGTTATTGGCTTCTTCTCAGCCTCCAACTTGGTTTAAAGTCTCAAACTGCAACAGTGAATCCTTGATTTTTATCTCTCCAGGCTTTCATGAGAAGGACAAGAAGCCATATTGCCGAAAGGATTTCTTAGCCATGTTCTCACCCAAGTGTGGTGGCTGCAACCGCCCAGTGTTGGAAAACTACCTTTCAGCCATGGACACCGTCTGGCATCCAGAGTGTTTTGTTTGTGGGGTCTGTATTCTTACTCACTTATCTTTTGGATATAGGGAAAGTCAGGTGTTCTCCTCTCTGAGAGGCAAAGCTGCAACTGGTAAGAGGGTTCATAGCTTGGGATGAAGAATTGATGTGGGCTTCCTAAAGGAGACACAAAACACAGCATCCGTTGTGGGCATTTGCTTGTCTGTTTTGCAAGTGGGCGATATTCTAGCCTCCATTTGTCTAGGACCTGACTGAATTCCTGCAACTGGCAGGTAACTGGCGGGAATTCCAAGGCTGAAAGTTTTACTTTGCTGACAACTTACTTCTTGACAGCTGCATTCCTTTCCTTTCTCTGCTCTCTGCCCCCTCCAGGACTGCTTCAGCAGCTTTTCTACTGGATCCTTCTTTGAACTGGATGGACGTCCCTTCTGTGAGCTCCATTACCATCACCGCCGAGGAACCCTCTGCCATGGATGTGGGCAGCCCATCACTGGCCGCTGCATCAGTGCCATGGGCCACAAGTTCCATCCTGAGCACTTTGTGTGTGCTTTCTGTCTGGCGCAGTTGTCAAAAGGCATCTTCAGGGAACAGAATGACAAGACCTATTGTCTACCCTGCTTCAATAAGCTCTTCCCACTGTAATTGCAGCTGAACCCACAGCCTCTTCAGATCCCCTATAAAATGTAAACCAAGAGAGGAAAGAATACATTTGTCGTTGCTGACCTTCTGCTCAATAGGCTTATAGAGAAAGTAAAGGTGATGAGCAAATAAGGGAACCTCTAGATGTTACATGACTAGGCTTGTAGTCTTAAGTTTTAGATTTATAGCCTCATTTTTTTAATCAGGTACTTGAATTTAGATCTGGGTCTTGCTGTCTAGTGCCTCTGCAGATGTATTTTCCACATGCACACATTCATTCCATCCCTGGTTTTCTCAGATTTCCCCATTTTTACCCCTACGATGACCCTGCTCATATCTTCTCTCCTTTGGCTCTCATCATTGTCCCTTTTCAAGCTTTCCACATTTCCCTGTGACTAATTTTCCCATAATCACTGCTGCTGACTTTATTTTGCTGTCAGGAATCATGATCTTACTCTTAAGTTCTTTGCTTCTCCCTTTAGTGTATTTCTCTTTTTCAAGAGGAAGTAGATTTTAACTGAAGAACTTTAAATACTGACATTGTTGATAAATAAAATGGCTTTCAGTTCTAATAACTCACTGTCATGTTTGGAGATAAACTTTTGCTTCCTCTGTTATATACTAGGCACTATGTGCAATTAAATTTGTATCATGTCTCTTGTTTACTTTCATACAATAAGCACTTTTTCAATAAAAGTAATTAAAAGGAGGGAGTCCTATTTACTAACTGTTCTCTTCATTTGGACCTATAACATTCCTTTCATTTTATTTTTTGTGCTTAGATGATTGAGTCATTTTAAGAGAGGACAAAGCTTGTTAAAATTGTTTTCTCACTTAGTTTACGTAAGGAGAAAAACTGGATCTCCACTAGGCACTTGCAAGTTCATATTTGCATATGTTTGCATATCTTCAAACTCATCAAATTATGTACATTAAATATGTCCAGTTTTCTTGTACATCAATTATATCTCAATAAAGCCATTTAAGAAAAATGAAACATGCATCTTCCTCAACTTTGCAATTGTCTCATGGCTGTTCTTAGAACATCTCTGAAGAAAGATGCTATAAAAGATCATTTGATCATTTTCTAGTTTGGATTAGGAAATCCAAGCCCCAAAGAAAAATCTCCACTTACTTATTTGTTCCTCTGCAAGATATTGTAAGTAAATTTGTAGAAAAACTTATCAGATTATTAAAGAATCTGACTTGCTCATGTCTTACCTCAAGTAAGCTTCAGAAGGAGTCATGCTTCCTCAAAAGAGGTATTGATAAGATCAGTACTATATCTTTATTACCATCGTCTTAAAAATCATTGTATGGTTATTTGTTATAAAAAAAAAACAGTCTAAATTACTGAAGAAAACTCCTTCACTGGAGATATTTTTAAAAATAGGACTGACTTTGGTGTGTTTTGATTGGAATGGGAACAGAACTTCTTGGAGAACTGATAGATTAAATGATTCTTGTCAAGCTTGATTGTATTTATTTCCTTTGTTGGAATGGATGATCAAGGGGTTTTGAGAGTTAAAAGGAAGTGGTCACAGTTAATTCTATAAAATAGGAACTCCAACTGCGTGTGGGAGGCCACACAGACAGGGAGCCATCTGGCCTCACGTGCTGTCCAGTTGGCTGAGAGTACCAGACTAAGCAAAATATGCGTTCAACTTCTAAACATCCTCTTCTCAGTGTCCTCACTCTATGATATCACATGCAGGTGTTAATATGGTAGTCTTCATGGTTGCCTTGGCAATATGACAAAGTAAACTGGGGTTTTAGCCCTTAAGAAAGAATGTTCAAGTATTTTTTTTTTGTTTAAGGATTAGCTATTTTGAAATTTCAGTAGAATCTAAATATTTTAAAATGTTAGAGAAAAGCCAGAGTTCACTAAGGGGCAATTAAGAAGTGAAGAGTTTTTCTTCTCAAAATGAGTGTGAGTGGTTATATTTGTTCAAAAAGAGATGTTTCTGTCAAGATCAGTGTTTTAGCAACAAGGGAACCACTCATGAGTAAAAAGTTCTCCTTAAAATAAGCAGAAATACTATTACTCAAACTGATTGTCTATCTATTTATTCTTTGTTATGAGTAACTTCTAGCTTTTAAGAAATAAACCCACTGTTAAAGGACAGGGCTCTTCCGCCAGTGAGTATATATGTATATATGAATTTGCTGTAGACTGGGAACATTCTCAAAGAGGAATCCCTCAATTAGTTTGGCCGATTATTCTTTGGAATAAGTATAGAGTCCCCCGAGGTTATATTTTGATAAAGACAACAATTATTTTTCCATACAGATTCTAGCATGCACTTCTCTTGGGGTTGTAGGATGGCTGCTAGACCCATGCTCCCCTTTTCATGACCAGTAGAGGGAGAAAGAGTGCTTTCCTCTAGGTTTGCAAGCACAAGTCCTGAGATTCGTCCTGACTGGACTAGCTTAGGTCATATATCTACCAGTGATTTTTGCTGGGGGAATGGAGTATGCAGCTTGGCTTAAACCAAACGGGACCATTCCCAGTGTTAGGGGCAGGACTGAGTTCCTGGAAACAAAAGGGGTCTGTGGAGTAGATGTGAATACTTAACAAATCTGAGTACTGATGACGTGGGTAATGAATCTCGAATTCATATGACTATATGTTCAAAAGTGAAAGTACTATTAAAATGTTTCTGAGTTTCAAGGTTATACAGAAGGTAAGCAAGTAGGTATTTCCAGTGCCCGGAAGGAACGTGTCTGAGAACTTTACAGAATTCTAAAGCAGAGGAAAACCAGGAATGTTGGTGTTATGAGGAACACGTGGCAGAGCTGCTGTCTTCCCTGGGCCCCTAGGGGCACAGCGTTAACCAGCATCAAAGCAGCTTCAGTCTGGGAATCTGAGAAGGGAGAGCCTCCAGCTGAAATTAAGGTGAGGAAAAAGGACAGCTTTCTTTAGAGGCAAGTGTCTTAGGCATGAGTAGGTCCTTAATAAGGGCAGTGGTGGCAGCCACTAAAATATGGGACTTAAAAAGCGACTGCCTGCCTCCAAAATACTGTGGAGGCTGTGTTACTAGATAAAACTCGCTGTCAGGTAAGTGCTGAGTACCCAGAGCTCAAAGGAGAAGTGGAAATCTATTGGGAGCCACTGGATGAGAAAGAAAGAAATCTCAGATAAGTTCTGGTGCTTGCATTGGGCTTGTTGCAAATTTATAACTTTGCCAGGAGGCAACAATGTCTCAAATCTATTCTGTAAGAAAGGAGTTTATGTAAGAGGTTCCTCCTCCCCGGTTATGGTAAATGCATAGTGCCTAAATCAATTTCCTATGGAAGATAGCTCCTCACTACATTTCGGTTCACAGACCAAGGAATCTGGACAATTGCATAGACTTAGTGGCATTCTGGTAAAAGCAACCCGTCTTCCCTTCCTACTTTGGATATCACAAAATCTCGACGAATACTGTATTTTAGGAATAACATTTTTGCCTGGGATAACGACCCCCAATTCCAGTGAGAGATATCTGAGATCATAGGTGCTGATGGAACAACTCCTGTAGCTGAGAATGAACAGACAAAGAAATCAAAGAGGACTCAACTTCCTTGAAACTTTAACTCAGAGGAGGTAAGACAATTTGATTTTGGGTTTCAATGCCTTTGGACTTTGATATGCTATGTTGAATAACATGACCGGATGTAACTGGGGATGTGAAATAGAGCAGGAGTTCATTTCTCTCTCAGCATTATTTTTTTCAGTCTAGTTTCTGCACAAGGAACCGCATCTCTTCCACTTTGGGTCCATGTGTTTAGGTGGGGCTGACTTTACCTGTAACGGCTGGGATGGACACAAGTCTCAGGCCTGACCAATAAGTGTACATTGTTCTTCAGGATCAAGGTGACTGGATCGGGGGTAGACATGTGACCTGAGCAAAGCCAATCAGATTGCTCCCCAGGGCCTTTGCTGAATTTATTGGGAAAGAGTTATTTTCATTTTGTTGGGATTCTAGCTGTGAGGATAATAAAAAAAACATTGCTGCTGAGAAGTATATTTATTATCACTTAGGGGGAGCCGGCCTAAGAAAGAAGCCAACAGAAAGGACAGTTGAGCTGAGTCATGAAGAGGCCATGTCTTCTTTTTTTTTGAGCCACCCAATCCTACCATATTAGCGTCTTAACCCCAGATTGGGAAGTTACGTGAGCAAATAAATTCTCTTTTTTGCTTAAACTGATATGAGTTGGAATTCTGTCACCGATTAATTGAGCAATCCGAATAGATATATTCTCTCTTTTATAAACAAAGTACTGTGCAAGAATGAAAAATGAATGAACAAATAAATTCAATCGTGGCACAGAATGTACATTGCATGTCACGATGAAAAACAAGTAGACAAAAATAATATCTGATCACTTCCCAATGCTTTTTACTTTAGAGCACAGTGAAACACTTTGTAATTTAAGTCTGAGGCATTCTGTGAATAGTTCATATATTTAGAAAGCAAACTTCTTGTTCCTGTCTAATTTGTTAGTAAAGTTGAGTCATGCATGTCAATCTCACTAAGGGGACAGAAAGGAGGGGAAGTGCTGTCATCCTCTAAGACTCAAAAACATGTTGGAAATCATGTTATATATGCTGCATTGTCTAGTGCTCCTCCATAGAAAACTATTAAATCTTTAATGTTACTGTAATGCTATGCATTTGTAGTGAAAAATAGTTTAAAAAAATCTTGATGTCCTACTTGCAAACAAAAAAGAAAGAAAAATTAGAAAATTATAAAAGAATTGAATTTCCATTTATTATGAAAGTTGGTACTTGAAGAAAATTGGGTTTACAAGTGCTTGAGGAAGAGAAAGAAGACATTTATAGTGATTCTGGGAGGAGATCATGTTGCTACTTTTCAGTGCTTTGGAGGTTGAGAGTGGTGATTTTCTTTATGTCCTATAACACTTGGAAAATATGACTTTCACTCTCCAGGTACTCTTGCATTTGCAGACATGAGATAAGAAATATTGGAGGCTCAAAGATAAACTGAGGAACTTAGAAGGAGAGAAATTTTCCTAAAATGATCTGAAAATTTTGAAAGAAGGGAAAGTAGAAGGGTAGAAAGTTATAAGAGATATAAGAAAACGTGTGAGTTGGGCAGAGTGAGATTTCCAGAGCTTCTAGCAAAGGAGGAAACATGGGAAATGAGGAGTGTGACACAGAACACAGTCTCTGTGAGGAAAAGAAAGGAAGTGGTGGGGTGGGGGTGGGGTCTGTCACTCAGTTAATCTCCTTATACAAACTGCTTATCCTGGAGTGTCTCTTAGTTTGGATTGTCCTAGAAGTAGACCCTGAGACTAGGATTTGTGCACAATAGTCTATTCAGGAGGGGATCTCTGGATGTACAGGTAGGAGAGTACGGAAGTGAGATAGCAAAGGAAGCAGGCCAATTCAATGTGCATTGATGAACAGGTTACTGCTGTGGGAAGTTGGAGATCAACATGCTTGAGAACCTTTGAGATTTGTTATAGAACACATGCATGTCAACCAATCCCCCCATCCCACCTCTACCTCCTCTGACTTGCCCTGTATGCAAGCTGGACATGCTCCTGTGGCCAAAGAAAGCC